TCACGTAAAACTAAGTAAAAAAAATCAATTTTACTTTAATAATTTATCTATACCTATGCGTCCTATGGGACTTTTAAAAAATAAAGTATATGGTTGGTCCACTTTTTGTAAATTAGCACCCCCCCAACAAAAATCCTAGCTACGGGCCTGCATTGTCGAAGATTATAAAATGCGATTTTTTCGGTAGTCACGTGACTCGACTTTATTTGTTTATTTATCACAGTACGTGGAAAATACAGCCAATCAGAATACAGGATAGTCTTTGTATATTTTTCGGAATTAATTTTGTCTCCCTTCCCATCATACGCTGCGATATTAGTTATTACTTTCTCGTGACACAGCATAGAATATTTCACTTGTCACTTGTATTTTCTGTATACATATGTATATGTACAGAAACACACAAAAATGGGTATCTTTCGGGAGATTGTGCGGCACGATAGAAAGCGTTTTACGTTATTTTATACTGAAGAGATAGAAAATGAGTTATACAAGAACGCGGGAAATTGCGTGAGTCCGAGAGAAGTGCCAAGAGAAGCACGAGCCGAAGGCGAGGGTTTCTCGGCACTTCTCGAGGGCTCACGCAATTTCCCAAGTGCTTGTATAACTCAAAATAGCACAAGCAAGGGGAGTTTTCTATCTCTTTCATAAAATAACTAAGATACTGAACTAACGATTAACTCAAAAGAAATAATAAAAAAAAAACATAAGAAACAAACAAAACATCGCGCGCGCAGCTGACGTCATTTCCTCACGATCTATGTTGAGTTATATAAAACGGTAATTGACCAATCAGAGCGCGCGTTATATCTGAGATATTTTATACAATAAAACAGAAACCAGAACATTTCAGTACTCAATGATGGGAAGAAAGAGTGGAATTCAGACTGTGTTCTGATTGGCTGTATTTTCTTATGACATGGAACATTATCTCGACTACATGTTAATTAAGACCTACCACGTGAATTAGTCCTCAGTTGTGAAGCAGCTGATCCATTTGGTGTATCTGCATTGCTACCAAAGCTAGAGGAAAGTTCTGGTACAGATGAGATGGCGGGTATAGCAGATACAGCCGGTACAGCAGGCACTGCAGCTGTGGCTGTCACCCCGTTCTTCAGCAAGGACACACTGGAAAAACTGTGAGATCTTAGGATACCATCGTCGTCATGAGCGGAATCCTCACTAGCGTTTCGTGAAGATTTACGAGCTGACGAATAAAAGAACATTGTACGGTGAAATGGATTTGTTGTTACTCTCATGAGTGTGGCTGGTGAGAGCCAAAGGTTGACTGTTTGCGTAGGAAAGGAATGATTGAAAAACCTTCTCCTTAAAAGGAAGTAATATTGATCATAGACTGTAGTACGTTTAACACTGAACAACCATTGCTACTAAAATACTTGTGTCATTTGATTTTTTATTTTGGTCCCTTGCTTTGATACATATCTTCTTCCCCCCCCTCCCCCCCCCCCCCCCCCCTTTTTACTGGATTTGGACTCTTTTTATTCATAGCAAGATTCTTATTTTCATATATGAATAGCATTAAAATCATACGAAATTGATTAAATTTCAAAAGAAGTTGTTAAACAGAAACCGCAGTTCGGCAAAATACCATATGTGCATCGATGCTCCATAGCAAAATCATTGTCAAGTTCAAAACATTGAACATAGAAACGGAGGCCGAAAAGTATGCTGGGAGTTAACAAAATCATCCTCTGATGATGTATTTATCTGAGATACACAGTCGACATTGAAATTCGTTAAAGATTCCATGCTGTTATCAGGGCTTTTCACGAGTCGTATCACTAGATATAATCCATATACCTCCCTGAGACACGAGTGAAAAACGTCTGAGCATGCTCTGAATATATAATATATAATATATAATATAT